GTTTTAATCCTTACCCAAGGACATATTTTTATTGATTTTAGAGAGGGGGGAAGGTATAAGGACAGGAAAAAGGACTTTCTTTTTCTTTGCTTCACAACTTAAGACAAGCATCTGATAATTAAACTCCAAGATTGGTATCTCCCCTGATTTAAACAGCCACTCTGTTCAAACTGCAAGATAAGATAAGCTACTCTCAAGGCTGCATTCTTGCATCCCTTCCTACCTTCTGTTTTCACAACAGAGTCTCAAGTTAGCAGAAAATTCCTTCCACCACCCCCCCACCACCCCTTCAAACAAGTCTCTTTTGAACTCTTCATAACTTTTGCTCTTTGCGTGTTTTACAGGCTTAAGAAAAACACTGATAAGACACCTCCCTGACTGCCTCCTGGAAAGCAAACAAACTGTAACTTTTCTTTTTTTTTTTTAAATTAAATCTTTATTACATTTGTTCCACATTATTACATTTGTTCCTCTTTTTCCCCCATAACTCCCCTCCACCCAGTTCCCACCCCACCCTCCTCCCTCACTCCCCACCCACTGTCCTCATCCATAGGTGCACGATTTTTGTCCAGTCTCTTCCCGCATCCCCCTCACCCCTTTCCCCCCACCAAGAATAGTCAGTCCACTCCCTTTCTATGCCCCTGATTCTATTATAATCACCAGTTCATTCTGTTCATGAGATTATTCACTTGATTTTCAGATTCACTTGTTGATAGATGTGTATTTGTTGTTCATAATTTGTATCTTTACCTTTTTCTTCTTCTTCCTCTTCTTAAAGGATACCTTTCAGCATTTCATATAATACTGGTTTGGTGGTGATGAACTCCTTTAGCTTTTTCTTATCTGTGAAGCTCTTTATCTGACCTTCAATTCTGAATGATAGCTTTGCTGGATAAAGTAATCTTGGTTGTAGGTTCTTGATATTCATCACTTTGAATATTTCTTGCCACTCCCTTCTGGCCTGCAAAGTTTCTGTTGAGAAATCAGCTGACAGTCGTATGGGTATTCCCTTGTAGGTAACTGAGTTTCTTTCTCTTGCTGCTTTTAAGATTCCCTCTTTGTCTTTTGCTCTTGGCATTTTAATTATGATGTGTCTTGGTGTGGTCCTCTTTGGATTCCTTTTGTTTGGGGTTCTCTGCGCTTCCTTCCTTTTGTCCAGTCTCTTCCCGCATCCCCCTCACCCCTTTCCCCCCCAAGAATAGTCCACTCCCTTTCTATGCCCCTGATTCTATTATAATCACCAGTTCATTCTGTTCATCAGATTATTCACTTGATTTTCAGATTCACTTGTTGATAGTAAGTCTATTTCTTTCACCAGGTAGGGGAAATTTTCTGTCATTATTTCTTCAAATAGGTTTTCAATATCTTGCTCTCTCTCTTCTTCTGGCACCCTTATAATTTGGATGTTGGTACACTTGAAGTTGTCCCAGAGGCTCCTTACAATATCTTTGTATTTTTGGATTCTTTTTTCATTTTGCTTTTCCGGTTGGGTGTTTTTTGCTTCTTTGTATTTCAAATCATTGACTTGATTCTTGCGCTCCTCTGGTTTGCTGTTGGGAGTCTGTATAATATTCTTTATTTCAGTCAGTGTATGCTTAATTTCTAGTTGGTCCTTTATCACAACATTGAGGGTCTCATTAGATTTTTTGTAGGTCTCATTAAGTTTATCAGCAGTTCCTAGAAAATTCTTGAAAAACCTTAAAAGTGTGGTTTTGAACTCTATATCCAGTAGTTTGCTTTCCTCCATTTCTGTCATTTGAGTCCTTTTTCTTTGTCTCCGCATTTTTTATGCTTCCCTGTGTCGATACAGTGGTTTTCTGTGTTAAGTGTCCTCTAGGGCCCAGTGGTTCAGCCTCCCCAATTACCTGAGGAGGACACTCTTGGTGCACAACCTTGTGGTCTTTGTGCATAGTCTTGTTGTAGTTAAGCCTTGACTGTTGTAGGTATCAATGGGAAGAATTGACCTCCAGGCCAATTGGCTGTGAGAATCAGCTGTGTCTGCAGTGGGAGAGCTTCTGGGCTGGAGACACCCCTCTGGGGCAAGACTTGCTTCAATGGGGCTTTGGTGCTCACTGAGTCTGCCCCCTGAATGTGTCCTTTATGGTTCCACGGAGCTGCAAACTGGATGGTCCCACTCTGACCTCTGGGTACACTGGCTCCTGGATCTCTAGGGAGGTGCTAATCTAGCCTCTGCCTTAGGCTATCCAGCAAAAGCCTCGCTGCAGGGCTTGGGTGGGGTGGGTCCCATGGGATCAACTGGATGGGGCTGGCAGTTATGGCTGCTCTCCAAGGCCCCCTTCTCAGTGTCCCGGCAATCGCTGCAAGCCCCTCCGAGAGAAAGCTGCCCTCAAGTTCCGACTGATGCCAGACAGTCCCGCTTCTCCCGTATGAGCCTGGGTCCCCAGAGACTCGCCCGGAACTGGAGCCTAAGACTCCCTCCCGATTGAAAACGACAACTGCGCCCTCGCCACCAGCCCACTCCTGTGCGCCTCTGTACCTTAGTATTTTACTTCTGCACTGGTCCTCCTCTGAGTCTCGGTATGCTTTTCTCTTTCCTTCTAGGTGTAGACTTTCCACTCAGCCAGCCTTCCTGTGGTTCTGGATGATGTCCGTTCCGTCTTTTAGTTGTATTTCTGAAGTGGTTTTTCGAGGCAGCAAACTCCGGTGTTTACCTATGCTGCCATCTTGGTTTCTCTCCTGTAACTTTTCAAGACAGCCCCAGGTATCTGCTCAACTTCAACACAAACCCCACCCTTCCTTGTCACCTAGCAACAGCAGTCATTACTCTTTAAAAGTGGAAGGCACCCTTTGTTTTTTGCCTTGTATTGACAAATGATACAGCAGCCCTTTCCTTGCTTGGTAAGTAAAATACACTTCCTCTCTGCATCTCTTCTTTTACTTGTGAATTCTTTCACAGCCTGTGTCACCATCCAAAACACTAACAGAAGGGAGAGAGACAGAGAAACATCGATGTGACAGTGAAACATCAATTGGTTGCCTTCTATATGTGCCCCAACAGGGGATGAACCTGCAACCTAGGTATGTGCCCCAATGGGGAATCAAACCTGAAACCTTTTGGGGTAGAGGATGAGGCTCCAACCAAGTGAGCCACCCGGCCAGGGCTGAGCTTGGTGTTCCTTGAATTCTAGGCCTCAGTTGAATATCTCACAAGAAAAACAAACAAAACCCCATACCTCAGCGTGTTCAAGAGTAAACTCATGATTCTCATCAGTGTTCTCTTCCAGTGCTCTAATTCTTTGTGATTAGCACCACCATTCCAGCTGCACCAGAAAAACAGACGTCATCTCACCCCCTCCTTTTCCTCGTCCTCATCCATATCTAGTGTAGCGCCAAGTTCTATTAATAAAACCTGCAAAATAGCTCTTGAATCTACTACTCTCTTCACCTCCACTGCTATCATTCTAGTCTCCATCATCTGCTCTTTCCTGGAGCTCTACAGCAATCTTCTGCTTGATTGACCTCCCTCCAAGCCCTTCATGTTGCAGCCAGGGTAGCCTTTTCAAGTATATGCTCATGTTTATCATTTGCTTCTCACTGCTCTTAGAACAATGTCAAGACCAAACAAGGCCCTCCCCCAACTCTTTGCAACCCAGGTCACTGGTTTCTTTGAGTGTGTGCCTGCGCTGTGCAATAACCTACCTCAAGACTTCTTCACTTGCCCTTGCTCCTGCTCTTGTCATCCTTCAGATGGGAGCTTAATCAGCACTTACTAGGGGAAGCTTCAGGTTCCTTTTCCATCTCCTAGGGAAGTCTGTGCCTTCCCTTCAGCACACTTTTCTGTCTATATACTGTGAGATCCATAAGTCATGGAGTTAGTATCTCCTACAACATAATGCCTGGCACATAGTGTTAGGAAGGAAAAAAAAGAAGGCTTTTCTTTTACTTTGCTGTAGCCTTCCACAACTTACGAGGAACACCTGGTAATTAATCCTCAGGATTGTTAGCTCCTCTGGTTCAAACATTCCCTCTGTTCAAACTATAAGACAAGTTACTTTCAAGGCTACATTCTTACATACACTTCTCCCTGCTGGTATACAACCCAGGGATAATTAGTTTACAACCCATTTCCCTTCAAACAAACCTCTTTTAAACTTTTCACAACTTTTGCTCTAGGAATATTATACAGACTTAGGAAAAATCATGATAAGACACCTCCCTAGGACATCTGCCGGGATTGTCTCCTAAAGAACTAACAAAGCCAACTCTCCTGATGTCTGCTCAATGTCACCTAGCGACAGCAGCAGCCAGAAAAACCTCCCTGCCTTTCTTGCCCAAGGCTTTAAAAAGAAGGACAGCTTTTTTTTTTTTTTTTTTTTTTTTTTTTTTTTTGTATTTTGCCCTGGCGTTGATTAGCACAGCCCTTTCCCTTTGGGGAAAGTAAAAATAAACTTTCTCTTTACATTTCTCTCTTCTTTTATTTTTTTCTATTGATTTCAGAGAGGAAGGGAGAGGGAGAGAAACATCAATGAGGAGAGAGAAGCATTGATCGGCAGCCTCCTGCACGACCCCCCACTGGGGATCAAGTCCTTAACGGGGCATGTGCCCTGACTAGGAATCGAACTGCGACCTTCATAGGTCACGCTCAACCACTGAGCAGGCGGCTGGGCTCTCCTTTTAGCTGTGGATTCTTTCGCAGCCCTCATCACTGGCCGAAAACTCTCACAGTGAGTGTTCAATGGATAAATGAATATACAAACTGCAAAGAAGAGTAGCCAATAATGAATGTTGTGAATCCAGTCCCAGAGAGAACGCAAGTGGTCTCCACGCACCCACACAGGGGAACCTGCCTGGACCACAAACTCCGCGCTCCTCCCAGTAGCTCCGCCCCTTGGGCTCGCCCCTCCCTGTGAGTCGAGGGGTGGGGCATAGAGGTCGCAGGACGTGACAGAAGCCGGCCTCTGATTGGCCTTCAAGGCGTGCCCGTAGAACAAGGGGCGTGTCTGCGTGCTCTGATTGGCTGTCCGGCGGCGGCTGGGCGGGGATCGGGGGCTGCGCGGGGGCCCGCGCGGGCAAGGAGGGCACCGGGCTGGGAGGGCTGCAGCGACGGGCGTGATGGGTCCTCGCCGCCGGCTTCGCTGAGACTCGCTCGCGTGGGCTGCCCCCGGCGGGCCCGCAGGGCCGCGGCGGCATGAAGGGCTCTCTGGGGAGCCCTGTGGCCGCGGCCGCCGCGATGCAGGAAAGTTTCGGCTGCGTCGTGGCCAACCGCTTCCACCAGCTGCTGGACGACGAGTCAGACCCGTTCGACATCCTGCGCGCGGCCGCGCGCCGGCGCCAGCAGCAGCTGCAGCGCAAGAGGCGGGACGAGGCGGCGGCGGCGGCGGCCGGGGCGGGCCACCGCGGCGGCAGGAGCCCGGCCGGGGCCTCGGGCCACCGACCCGGCGCGGCCGGCGGCCGGCGGGAGTCCCAGAAGGATCGCAAGGGCCTCCCGGCCCCCGGCGCGCAGCAGCCCGACAGCCCCGGGGGCGGCTCGCAGCCGCCCGGGACGCGCGCCCCGCCGGGCACCTGGACGCCCCCGGGTGAGCGCGGTGGCGGGAGGGGCAGGAGGACGGGGTCACGGAGGTCACCCCTCTGGACGCTGCGGTCGCTGGAACCTGTTCCCCAGAGGAGGGGCCTTTGGAGCGGCCGGCGGGACTGGAGGGTCCCGGTAGCCCGAGCGGGTGGGGAAGCGCGGGGCGGGCGCTGTCGCCGCTCTGACCTTCCTGCCCCTCCGGGGTGGGGGCCGCAGAACCCGGAGCCGAGCCCCGCCAGCTGGGCAAAGTGAAGGGACCCTGCTGGGCGGTGTGCGGGTGAGGACGGGGTCGCGGGACTCCCGCCGCCCGCCGCGCACCCTCTGCGGGAGCGAAGGGAGAGGCGCGGGTGGAGGGAGCGCCACTCAGGCGGCGTGGGGGGAGGTCGGGCGCCCGGGGCGGCGCGGCGGGAGTCCGGGTGCGTGAGGAGTCGCGGGGGAGGCGCGACGGCCTCTGTGACGGAGGGGCCTGGGTGACCGCGGGGGCGGTGACGTCGGCGCCCGCGAATGCGGAGCGTGGCGCGGGGTCCCCGGCGCCTCCGAGCTCGCGCCTGCAGCCGGTCCCCTGGCCGGAGCTGCAGCCCTCGGCCGGCGTTATGTTTAGATGCCGCACGTGGCGGCGGTGGGAGGTGTGACCTGTCACTCCCTCCGCTGCTTCCGGTAACCTTTGCACCCCGGCTCTCCGGAGTCCCCTCCCGCTGTTTCGGCGGAGGGAGGGGCGCGAGCATCGAGCCTCCCCTGACCTGCCTCGCTGGGGGTCAGCAAGAGCGCCCCTGCGCTCCCTGTTGTCCTGAAATGGGCCCTCGGGTTTGCCCCAGAGGAGTGTGAGTGTGAGGCGTGCGGCTCCACCACTGCGGCTCGGCTCTGCGGGCTAGTGCCCTGCTTGGTAAACATCGTGCATCCCACAGATTGGCAGTTACAGGATGGTTACGGAGAGGTCAAGTTCAGCGTAGAGAACACGGCCAATAATACTGTAATATGTACACTCATGCGGGCGGTCACTTTGTAACTTACATAAATGCCTACCGCTATGCGCGCACCTGAACCTAACATAATAGTGACTGTCAACTGTAATGGGAAAATGACCGAAAAGTTACCTTGTGCATCCCCACCCTGGGAAAACAGCTGATGGAAGTACTGGGGCTCTGACTCCTGCAGCTAGGTACTGTTTACCTTTAGCTGTGAAAGCGCAGTCCAGCGATATGCTTGAAAATCAGAAAATAAGTCACTATAATACATTGAATTTATTTAAAAAGTTATTTCAAGACCCCTTGGTAGGCCAGTAAGTTCATGAGCGTGTTTAAATAGAGTGAGACTTGAGATATGATGTACATGTGGTATTATGTTATATTTTTTCTCGTTTATTTAGACGAATATGGTAATAAAAGAGCAAGGCTGAGCTTTTCCTCCTCCTTTATTTTAATGCAGTTTAAATTAAACTGCATTTAGTGCTACTAACATATCACTTTTTAACCCTTTTAAAATTAAAAATGCCATGCATTTTTGTTATAAAATTTTAAACAAGTTAGAAATGTATGAAGTAAAGTGGAAATCCTTTATTTTTCCTGCTGTTAACACCTCGTATTTACATACATTAATGCACAAAATTATTTCTTTTTTCTTATTTTTTAAAAAATATATTTTTATTGATTTCAGAGAGAAAGGGAGAGGGAGAGAGATAGAAACATCAATGATCGGCTGCCTTCTGCCTGCTCCCCACTGGGGGTCCAGCCGCACCTGACCTCCTGGTTCATAGGTCAAAGCTCAACCACTGAGCCACCATAGCTGGGCCTATTTTTTTTTTTTTTCTTTCTAAATTTAACTGATGTAAACTGGGTTTCAGTCTGCTTCTTTCACTTAGCTTTGTAATCTAGTATGTTGATAACTTTTTTCTGTCAATTGTTCATGATCCAGGTGATCTGGGTTTTGAGAACTATATTAAAGCTTTAATTTTGGTGTTGGAATGGAAATTTTGTCTCTCTAGTTTTTTTTTCAAGTATGTGTTATTTCAGGAGCTAACAGCTCATTAATTTCTGTCTACGCAGTTACTGTACTAAGTTTATCTGTAATGGATGTTAGAGAGCTACTCTCTCAAAGTTTTGTAGCCCTAATTTATATGGACTGTTCTTCTCTAACACTCAACAAATTTAATTTAGTTAGAATATTGTGAGTGAATACTTAGTGAGTCAAGAAACAAAGTCAAAAAATGTTTGACATATAATGGAAACATTTATTAATCTCAAAAGGATGTGGAAATCATAAGATTTTCCGATTGAGGTTTTTAAGTCCTTCACTGTTTAGTAATATACAGTTGACCCCTTGAATAACTTGGGTTTGAGCTTCTCAGGTCCACTTACATGTGGATTTTTCAATTGACCCAAGTTGTTCAAGAGTCAACTGTACGTTGACCCTGGTGTGAGCCTTGCTCAATAAATTTGTTCTTGAAGTCCTCAGGGGCTGTTTTATCTTTACTTTTCTCAGGCTTTCAGAACAATTGTTTTTGAGTCTAAGTTCAACTTTATTTTGTAGAAATCTCATTGAAAATTTTATTGTATTTTGTCCTTTCGTGGGCTTGGCATTAGATCAGTGAACAGACTGCGTGCGCCAGCCTTTTAGTGGAAAAGGATAGTTAAATTCAGTGTTTGCGTTATCCACTTGGAGCTGCTGATCCAGCACAGAAAACAGCTAGGTTCAATTGCAGTCTTAATCTTTTAGCACTGAATTGTGGGGAAACAATTGTACCTCTGTTGTCTTTGTGCTTTGGGTTTTGAAGAAAGAATGAAATATTTATAAGGTATTGGAACTTTGTTAATACATGTGTCCAAATTATAAAATTTAGATAGAAAATATTAAGTAGGAAAATGGAAAAATATGTGTAAACATCTTCCTTAAGAGTCATGTTTGTCTAACTTGGAGTGGAGACCAGCTGTTTAAAAAATACTCATTAATTCAAATACATTTAACATTTTTACAGCCATATAACCAACCAATTGAAGGGTAATTTATAGAAAAGTCAAAGGTACTGTAATACAATTATAAATAATATTTGAGATGGGGACCTTTTAAATGTATACAAAGGAAAGATAAACATTTTTAGAAGATGATTTTGAAGTGACATTCTTCAGAACATGTTTACCAGGTATTACATGCCTATCAGACACAGACTCTGCTTAAAATTGTTCAAGCATCGAACTGGAGGGGAGTAGAGTATGGTGAGAGGAGAGAGCAAAAGGCTGGAATGGCCTGGTCCCCGCCCCAGCTGAGTTCTGGCTCCACGCGTGGGAGATGCCTGTTTGGGCCCTAACTGGCCCATGTATGATTTGGCTAGACAAGTTTGGCCTCATATTTGAGAAGTATGATCATAAATACCAGGAAATAGCAGAAAAATCTGTTTCTAAATTTAAAAAAGATAATGGTAATAGCTGTATTTAAAAACAAAGACCTTAGTAGCTGATGAGAAACTATACTTGGGGTTCTAAAAAAAATTTAAAGAACAGGATATCCTAAAATTTTCTGGATGTAGCTTAGCTGCCATGTTTCAGTAAAGCTGCTTTTGTGAAACGTCGTTGATTTAGCAATTATCTATATCCCTAGCTACCACAGAGTCATTGTGCAATACCTATACTTGCAGGTTAGTTGGTGTAGTCTGTTTAACTTTATCATGCTTTTCAGGACATACGAGAAAGCTTTGGTAGGCCAGTTACTAATTCAATAGTAACTTAAAACTTTTATTAAAAAGTAGTTGATGCTGGCTGCAGTAATATCAGCAACTTTCCTTCTCTAAACTTCTACATTTCCCCATGACATTGGTTTCGAGAAGAGTGAAATGTGAAAGTACCTGTCAATAACGTGCTGCTGTAGACCTCATGTTCACCTCTCCCCTTTGATGTTTTGCTTGCAGGCCAGAAGCGAACTCCTAGAAGAGGGGAGCAGCAAGGATGGAATGATGGCCGGGGGACAGAGGTGACACTGGGTGGAGCCGAGCAGAGATCCTACAGGGAATATCAACCTGATGAGACCGAGAGGCAGGCGGACTTCACAGCTGAGAAGGTCACAGAAGAAAAGTATGTACTGCAGACAGGCCTGGGCTAGGAGGGTTTAGGAACCAGCACAGTTTTCAGAGAACTGCTAGCCTTTGTGACCTTCTGTGGTGCCAGTCCTGGGAATAATTTGCCAGTCTAAGTAGCAAATCATATTACCTTAGGTGCCACATGAAGGATCTTCCATTTACCTCCTAAATGACGTTAAGTCTTGGTTCAGGCAATGATTTTACGATAAAAAATGAATTCTTTACTGCTAACTATGAAAAGCACTCTCATAAAAATACTGCACAGGAGTATGTTCAAGTGGTCAAATTTTCTTTTGAAGTTTAGGCTAGGGATATAATTATGTTTTTGATTTAGTATTATTAATGTAGACTATTGATGAATTTATTTATTTTTTTGTTTTCTAAATTGCTTTCAGAGAGGAAGGAAGAGGGAGAGAGATAGAAACATCAATGATGAAAGAGAATCATTGATTGGCTGCCTCCTGCACACCCGCTCCTGGGGATTGAACCCGGAACCCCGGCATGTGCTCTCACTGGAACTGAACCGTGACCTCCTGGTTCATGGGCCGACACTCAACCACTGAGCCACACCAGCCGGCAGTCCTTTAACTTCTTGACTACTAATCCCATTTACAAGTTTTAAGTAAAGAATTTAGCTTTGTAAAACTATACTAGAGCCCATTAAAACAAGCCTAAAAAACAAGAAAGTCCAGCAGACTAGCTCAGTGCCAGAGAACTGAGCAGATGGCAACTTCTGCAGCTCTGTTCCCTGGCAGTTACACGTTCAAAACATTGAGGTGGTGTATCTGCCCCCACGTTGGAGGTGGGGGCTAGAAAAAGGTTTAATTCTGCCTTTTTTGGTGATTGCTTCGAATTTGCTGTGTAATGGCCTGTTTGCATGCTTATAAAGAGCTTCTGAATCAGAGCTGCTTATTTTAGGAAGCATTTGTGTTTTGTTTTCCTCACTTCAGGAATTCATTCTGTGGACATAAGGAAATTATAGCTCAAAGGCACAAACTCATGTTTGCAGGGTTTTTTTAGTAGCAAAACTATGAGTCTTTAAAAAGGATAAAATAGGTCTTTATATAGTAACATGGAAAGATGCCTGTTAAATGAAATCATGCATGCAGGCAAGGCTAGGGAGGGGGGAGGGTGGGATGTGGGGTTATGGAGGGATTTTTTTTCTTTTTACTTTAAAAATAATTTCACATTTACAAAAAGTTGCAAGAATTATACAAAGAGTTTCCATAAGCTATTATCCAGATTCCCCAAATGTTAACATTTACCACATTTGCTCTGTTATACTCCCCTTCCTCTTCTTCTTTCTCTCAATCTCTCCCCCTGCACATTCATAGTCTCTCTCTCTGTGTCACACACACAACTTTTTTCTTGGTCATTTTAGATGAGAGGAAGGTGCAGGAATGTCCCTTTATCCCTAAATACTTATATGTATTTACTAAAAACATGGTTCCATTATCAAACTTAGTAACTTCAGTACAGTTCTGTTGAATTCTCTAAATTATGTCATCCACAGACTGTTCAGATTCCACCAGTTGTCTTAGTGATGTCCTTTTAGCAAAAGGAAAAAGAAGTCTGATTCCAGATCCAGTCCAGGAATGGGCATTGCATTTGGTCTTCTCTAATTTGGAACGGCTCCTTAGTCTCCCTTTATCTTTTATGAATTTGACTTTTTTGGAAAAGGACGGGCCATTTGTTTTGTAGAACAGCTCAAAATTTGAGTTTGTCTGTTATTTCCTCATGGAATGAGCTTACCTGGCAGGAATACCACAGAAGTGATGTTTTGTGCCCTTCTCAGAATATCACATTAAGAATATGTAGGAATTTTTACTTTCAAGGAAATTTGAAATTTTTTTTATGTCATGTGCCATCAGAAAACATATTTTCTTATAATTTCTTTAAAAGTACTTTTCTATTAATAAAGGTCCATAAGATCTTTAATAAAGATAATTTATAGTCTCTTGAAACAATTTGGAAAACTTATGAAATTATAAAGAAAATTAAACCACCTATCTTACTGTCTGAGATGATTACTTGTAACACTTTGCCTATTTCCTTCCTTTTTATTTTTATTTTTAATCCTCACCAGAGGATATTTTTCCATTGATTTTTAGAGAGGGTGGAAGGGAGGGAGAGGAGAGAAAGAGAAACACGGACGTGAGAGAGACTCATTGATTGGTTGCCTCCCACACGTGCCCCGACCAGCGCTGGGAACCTGTAACTGAGATACATGCCCTTGACCAGGAATCAAACCCATGACCCTTTGGTCTGCAGGCTGATGTCTGATCACTGCACATCTGGCCTTGGCTAAACCACTTTTAAATATACATACAGCTCAGTGGCATTAAGTCCATTCGCATTGTTGTGTAACCATCACCGCATCCTTCTCCAGAACCTTCTCACTTTCCCCAGCTGTTCCCATTAAACATTGGCTCGCCATCCCCCATACAGAAACTTCATTCCCTCACCTGGGACACAGACCCGTGTCTAGTTATTAGGATTGTTGTACGCGAGTGGATGACGGTATGGAAAGCGAGCTGCTTGGCTCCAAGTTTCTTCCTTCTGCTTGTGCGTGCAGAACAAAGCTTCCCAAGCGGGGTACAGGGTTCCTCGGTCTCACCAGCCTGTGACAGAGAAGAACAATTTATGACCAGGGGGAAGTGAAGAGCAATTAAATATATTTAATGGGGGGTAGGAGTGAACTTGTGGAACAGAGAAAAAATGATTAAGGATTTAAAATACACCAGAACCCACAGGTCTATATTTAGGGTCAGTTTCAATCACTATTATAGCTTAAATGAATTTTTAATTTTGTCCATATCTGATTGGATTTCATGTAAATTTAGACCTGGTTTTGACTGTTGGCATTATTTTCCTTGTATATTGTTTTGCTTCATTTCCTCTCAATGTTTAGGTATACTTTTTTCCTTTTATGGCCTGATTAAGAACTTAACTTTCCTTTGGTCATTGTTATAGAACTCTGCTTTAGGGACTTTAATATAGAATCAGACTAGAGGCCTGATGCACAAAATTTGAGCTGGGGTGGGGGGGGAGGAGGGAGGGTGGTCCCTGCACCCTCTCTAATCCAGGACCCCTCGGGGGATATCCAACTGCCTCTTGCAATCCGGGACCGCTTGCTCCTAACCTCTTGCCTGCCTGATCGCCCCTAACCGCCTCTGCCTTGGCCCTGCCACATGGCTTTGTCCGGAAGGACATCCAGAAGGTCTCCCGGTCTAATTAGCATATTACCCTTTTATTAGTATAGATTCCAAATTTAACTTAAATATTTAGTATTAGAAGTGGAATGAATCTTAGAGCTAGTTTATCTAACCTCATTTTTAAAAAATATGTTTGTGGGTGTGTGTTTTTAATTGATTTTAGAGAGAGGAAGAAAGGGAGAAGGGAGGGAAGGAGACAGAGAGAGAGAAACATCAATTAGTTGCCTCCCACATGCACCTGGACTGGGGACCAAACCAGCAACCTGGGCATGTGCCCTGATCAAGAATCGAACCTGTGACCTTTTGGTGCATGGGATAATGCTCAGCAAACTGAGCCACACCGGCCAGGTCCTAACCTCCTCATTTTATAAATGTGGAAACCAGGTCCAGAGAGAGAGACCTGCCTAGGACCCGCTCTCACCAGCTCCCCCACTTAGTAGCCATATGACCTTGGGCAAGTTACCTACCTCCTCTGCGCCTCAGTTTCCTCAGCTGTGGGCAGTAGTCGTATATTACAGATTTGTTTGTGCGAATTAAGTGACTGTATGTGAAGCGTTCAGAACAACACCAGGGATAGTATGTGTTCAGTAAACGTTAACTATTAATTCGTTGTGCAGGCCGCCATTCTTTCCAATATACTACAGCCATAATAGCCTTCTAGAATTTGTTTTTCTTAAAAAGCCTTCGCTCTTTAATCCACCACTTTGTATTACACCATGTCTTCCTAGGCCAGTTGACAGATTTGATCGAGACAGACCCCTGAGAGGGCGTGGAGGCCCAAGGAGGGGCCTGCGGAGCAGAGGCCGCGGTGGGCCCGGGAACAGAGCTTTTGATCGTTTTGACCAAAGAGGAAAACGGGAATTTGAGAGATATGGTGGGAATGATAAAATGTAAGTTCCTTTATAAATGCTATTTTCACTTTAAGACCTTAGTCGTACATAGTATGAATCTGTTATGTGTTAATATTTAGTTGCCTTTATATTAGTAAAGAGCTGATCCTGATTTAGCTCTTATTATCAACTTCTCTGAGTTGAAGATTGACTAGAGACCAGCTTGCAGTTTTAGGAAATATTTCTTTCTGTAGAGCAATCAGAACTGAAGACAACATGGGTGGATGTGGAGTTCGCACCTGCGGATCCGGTAAAGATACCAGGTACGCTGCAAATGTGTGCATTCTGTGAACCTACAGTTAAGTGGAAATCTCGATCCTTGCATGCCTTTCATGAAAATTATGTCCTCTGTTGTGCTTGCAAGTGTCTTTATACTGTGTTCTCTTACATAGAGGTTGATATTAGGCCTTTGTTTAGTGAGATAACTTAAAAGTGGGTTTGCTAAAATTTATTAAAAACTTACAAAACTCAACTCCAAGAAAACAAACAATCCAATTTAAAAATGGGCAAAGGACCTGAATAGACACATCCCCAAAGTGGACATACAGATGGCCAAGAGACGTATGAAAAGATGCTTAATGTCACTAATCATCAGGGAGATGTGAATTAAAACCACAATGAGAAATCCCATGTCAGAGTGGCTACCACAACAAATCAACTAACAAGTGTTCGCTAGGTTGTGGAGAAAAGGGAACCTTTCTGCACTGCAGGTGGGAATGCAGACTGGTGCGGCCACTAGAAAGCAGTATGGACTTACCTCAGAACATTAAAAATGGAACTGCCTATGATCCAGCAATTCCACTTCTGGGAGTTTATCCAAAGAAGGCCGAAACACTGATTTGAAAGAATATGTGCACCCCTATGTTCATAGCAGCATTATTTACAATAGGTAAGATCTGGAAAAGCCCACGTGCCCATCAGCAGATGAGAGGATAAAAAGCTGCAGTACATTTACACAGTGGAATACTACTCGGCCGTAAAAAAGAAGAAAATCTTACCTTTTGCAACAGCATGGATGGACCGGAAGAGTATTACGCTGAGTGAAATAAGCCAGTCAGAGAAAGACAAGTGCCATATGATCTCACTTATATGTGGAATCTAATAAACAAAATAAACCAACAAACACAATAGAAACAGACTCAGAGAACAGACTGACAGCTGTTAAAGGGGAGGGGGTAGGAGGGCTGGGTGAAAAAGGCGAAGGGATTAAGTGAAAAAAACAACCCTCATAGACAACAGTATGGTGATGACCAGAGGGAAAGAGGGGCGGCGGAAAGTAGGAGGGGATAAAGGGGGCGTAAGTGGTGATAGAAGGAGACTTGACTTGGTTAGTGGTTAGTGAACACCCAATATGTTATACAGGTGATGTATTATAGAATTGTACCCCTGAAACTTATATAATTTTATTAACTAATGTCACCCAATAAATTCAATTTGAAAAATTCTTTCATTTTATCTTATTTTAGCCAAACACATTTGCTTGTTTGCTGATGGTGCAAGCACATGACATTACATTTGCATATGCTTCAGAATGGGTTTTAAATGCCTGGATATTTAAGAGATGACCATATGTATCCTAGTGACTGGCATATCCAATGTAAAGATGAAAGGTGCTCTATGGCACTCATTTTGGATTGGTTTGTGAGCCCTATACTTTACTTCTCTGTGACCTTTCAAAGTTCTTTTATACATTGCATCTTGATTTCCTGAAATCATGTGCAGATTGAAGCTCATCTGAGGTTCAAATTTGACATTTCTCAGGCATCATGGTACCTCAGATCTGTGCTAGTTTTGCTCCTTAAGGGAGGTGCTCGGTGCTAATGTTTCTGTCATTTCTTGGCTGCAGGGACAGTGCCTTCGTGGTGTCTGCAAAGGGACAGGTAGGAAGTACCTCCAGGCAGTGTAGGATGAGGAAGGGTCACCTAGGACATGTTGCAGGCTGGCTTTCAAGTTGGAACTCTTGAGAGGATCCAGACTTCCACTTTTCTTCTTTGGAATATAAGCTTTTTGCATAAACTTAGTTTTCATAAATTTTATCCTTAAAGACAAATGTAGACAGTAATATCAAATGTAGCATTAGATTGACTACCATTGCACATCTGTATTGTCCTTGAAAGGAAGAAAAACTCGTTAAATGTTCTCAGCCAGGGGTTCTATAGGATCTTGATTACAAATATTTTCAATTTATTTTATTTTGCTGTGATAATATATATATACATTTTTTTGTGATAATATATTTTTTAAAAGTAATACAGGCACCTCTTGAATGATCTGATTTACTACTTTAATACTACCATGCCATTTCAGTTTTATTTGTTTTCCTTTATTAAAATGTTTTTATTGAATTTTAGAGAGAGGAAGGAAGAGGGAGAGAGAGACCTAGATTTGCTGCCTCCTGCATGCCCCCTACTAGGGATCGAGCCGGCAACCCGGGCATGTGCCCTGACCAGTAATTGAACCTGCGACCTCTCAGTGCAAGGGACGATGTTCAACCAACTGAGCCACACCGACCAGGGCCATTTCAGTTTGCATTGCAACTTAAAATTATTTTTGGCTCCAAGAGATTAGTTACCCTAAGAGGTCAGTATTGGCTTTGTAGCGTGAAGAGATGACCATATGTCTCCTAGCAACTGGCATTTCCGATGTGGAGATGAAAAGTGTCCTATGGCACTCATTTTGGATTGGTTTGTGAGCTCTAAACTCAAAGCTCTTAGGTGGTAATAATCTTTAATTGAGAGATTTTTCATAGCTTAAGACTTTAATTGTTTACTTAAATTGAGATTTTGATCTGCCATGAAAACTGTGCAGTATAGTATAGTAATGTGCTACTTTTGGTGAATGAGGAAAGAGGAGAGGTAAGCCTAACCCATAAGTGCGTCCCTGGCTGACCAGGCCCCTGCTGCCGGTTCAGTGTAGTGGTGACGAAGGGGTAGGAATCCTGTTTGAAGATCCTGGCAGTAGGACGAGATCTGTGGGCAGGCTGCTTTCAAAATGGCGACCTGAGCCATTTCCAGTGTTACTGGTTTTTAGAACAGTTTGTCATAAAGTACTTGTGCTAAAAATAGAATTTGCTCCATCATCGTAATTTAAAGTATAATATCAGATATTATTTTTTTGTAACCAATTAAAATAGGCACCCATAATGCAATTTTCGGCAATGTTGCCTTCCAGCTTCTATTGTGAAGAGCAGAACAGTTTAGTAATTGAACATTTGGCTGAAATCTGTTTGTGTCATTCATTTGTTTAAATGTGAAGTGTGATTGAATTTGAGCTGGGAAACAAAGCTTTGATGTGTTCAGCATAGTGTTGTGGAACATAGGTGTGCAAGCGGGCATTTTCTGTGTTAGAGTAACTGAAGGCAAAGTGGACTTGGCCCTGGCCCTGGAGCTGCATCTTTCCTCTGACTAATCCAGCATTGGTGTTTGACATTAAACAGAATAACAAAACCTGCCAAAGTAAATTGTGCGTGATATTGACACTTGATGGTTTTGTAGTTGTGGTCATATCTACACTAATAAAAGAGAAACATGGTAGTTGGCGTACGACCGCTACCCTTTTCATTGGCTAATCAGCGAGATATGCAAATTAACTGTCAGCCAAGATGGTGGCAGGCAGCCAGGCAGCTTGAAACTAACATGAGGCTTGCTTGCCTCAGTGACGGAGGATCGTTGGAGGAAACCAACGTTCCCCGCCTGCGGCTGCAGGCCTCTGAGCAGGCAGTTTAAGAAACATTGTAACAAATACCTCCGGACTTCAGCCAGCAGATTCGCAACATTGTATGCAAAGGCCAGAAACCTACTTTCAGGAGCGGAGGCCTAAGAGCTGGAGCCAAGCCTCAAGCTAAAGCTGGCCCAGAATAAAAAAAAAAAAAGGAAAAAAGGAGCGTTTGGGAGTTCAGTCACCCCCAGCCTGAAAACAGCCCTCAGCCCCTCACCCAGACTGGCCAGGCACCCCAGTGGGGACCCCCACCCTGAAGGGTGTGTGACCAGCTGCAAACAGCCATCATCCCCTCACCCAGGCTGGCCAGGCACCCCAGTGGGGACCCCCACCCTGATCCAGGACACCCTTCAGGGCAAACGAGCTGGCACCTACCCATGCACCAGGCCTCTATGCTATATAGTAAAGGGGTAATATGCCTCCCAGCACCGGGATCAGCGGAGCCATGAGGCCTCCCGGCACCGGGATCAGCATGACAGGGGGCAGCGCCCAAACCCCCTGATCGCCCTGCGGCTCTGTGTGTGACAGGGTGCGGCACCCCAACCCCCCCCGCCCCCCCACGGGCCCTGCTGTGTGTGTGACGGGGTAGAGCCATAACCTCCCCATCAGCCCTGCCCTGAGTGTGACAGTGGCGGCGCCCCAACCCCCTGATTGGCCCTGCTCTGTGGGTGATAGAGGGCGGCGCCCCAACCCACTGATCTGCCCTGCTCTGTGTGTGACGGGACGGTGCGCCAACTCCCCTATTGGACCTACTCTGTGAGTGACAGGGGGAGCTCCTCAACCCCCTGATGGGCCCCTGCTCTGTGCGTGACAGGAGGGAGCTCCCCAACCCCCTGATGGGCCCTGCTCTGTGCGTGACAGGGTACGGAGCCCCAACCCCCCTGATGGGCCCTGCTCTGTGCGTGACAGGGGGTCGCGCCGCAACCTCCCCATTGACCCTGCCTTGAGTGTGACAGGGGGTGGTGCCCCAACCCCCCAATCGGCCCTGCTCTGAGCCCGACCAGGGACTGCACCTAGGGATTGGGCCTGCCCTCTGCCACCCGGGAGCAGGCCTAAGCCAGCAGGTCGTTATCTCCCAAGGGGTCCCAGATTGCGAGAGGGCACAGGCCGGGCTGAGGGACCCCCCCTTCCCCCCGAGTGCGCAAATTTTTGTGCACCGGGCCTCTAGTGGTTCTATAAGACCTGTAGATACAATGTTAATTTTATGTTTATTCACAAAATAATTTAGGTCAATATAGGGGGGAGATCTGTGATTTTTTTTCTTTAAAGTCAATTGCTCAAGTTTTAGAAATACTGGTTTTTATAAAGTCTCTTTGTATTCCTCTACTTTTTTCCTTCCCTGTTTCTTTGTAGCCATTTTATGAATGTTTTAAAAAATATATTTTTATTGATATCAGAGAGAAAGGGAGAGGGAGAGTTAGAAACATCAACCGTTTTATGTATTTTTGAAAGCTATGACTGTAAGTGCAGTTATGTTTTTTATCCCGTTGGTTTATTACGTGGCCAAGAGAAAAATAGAAAGTTGGAGTAATTCAGTGCTGTGGCTGCTGATGCTAAAACCTCCCATGACCCGCAGGGTCAGGCTGAGGTGCGAGCGCCTGGTGAAGGGCCTCCGCGGGGCGGAGCACACGATGCCTCCCATCACAAGTGCGTTTGACTCAGGACCTTTTTTAAAAGTAAAAATTAATCATTCAGACTTTGTATTGAAAAACTGAGTTGTTATTTTAAAAGCTGATGACAATAGCTTTGATTTGAAAATTAAAAATATTAATGTAGCCCTAGCCAGTTTTGTGCAGTGGATAGAGTGTCAGCCCGCAGACTGAAGGGTGCCAGGCTCTATTCCAGTCAAGGGTACTACCTCGGTTGTAGGCTCCATCCCTGGCCCCAGTCGGAGCCTGTGGGAGGCAACCAGTCCATATGTGCCTCTCTCACATTGATGTTTCTCTCTCTCTGTCTCCCCCCTCCCTTCCAATCTCCCTCAGAATCAATGGGAAAATATCCTCGGGTGAGGATTAACAACAACAACAATTAGAATAAAAAGTCTATTCTGGCCCTAATCGGTTGGCTCAGTGGATAGAGCGTCGGCCTGTAGACTGAAGGGGCCTGGGTTTGATTCCGTTCAAGGGCACATGCTAAGGTTGCGGGCTTGATCCCCAATAGGGGGCGTGCAGGAGGCAGCCGATCAATGATTCTCCATCGATGTTTCTATCTCTCTTCCTCCCCCTTTCTGAAATCAATAAAAAAAATATATATATATATATATATTTTAAAAAGTCTATTCTGTTATTGCAGTTCAATTTCTTTACTTTAGAAAAAATAGCTTATTTTTTGAAGCTGGGTTCTGTACATAGAGTGTAAAATATTTCTAATGAATATTTAATGTCCATTATATTGACATTATATACTCAAATATATTGACTAATTTTAGCATTTTCCTGAAAATGAAATTTCTTTGCTGGGACTAATTTATTTCTAAGTAATGTCTAGGTAGGATTAATGTTACCATAAAAAGGAAAAATTAAAGTCATATATGTTAAAATTCAAATAGTTATTACCAGTTTGTTTGTAATCCACACTTATTTCTGTGGAATGTTTTTACTTTTTTACCATTTTCTAAAAGTTAGATAAGTCATTTTATGGCCCCTATTAATATTGGGAATTTTCTAAGTTCAGAAGAGTTTTGAATATTTCTTCTGGTCCTTTATAATCTGTTTTAATTTTGGACCATTTATAGAAACTTCTATTTCTCAAAGTACCTTTCACATTTGTGAAAATAGTTTATATGGATTATCAATTGAGAGCATTTTGTCTTTTTTATTTTAATGTGGGTTACCTGTGTGTGGGTATATAATTCCTTGAAGGATATGTATTTAAGAAAAGGGCATTGTAATATGTTTTTCTCTCTCTTGACTATCTGAGAGCATTGATGTCAACAAGTGTGTGTGACTGGGTTGGTTCTTGCTGCTTTCAGTGACGTGGAGCCAGCTGCGCCTATGGAGGAGCCCCCGGTGGTGGAGGAGTCCCCGGATGCCCTGGAGGAGGGGTCTCCAGCCAAGTAGGTGGTTAGCTCTTTTTCCCGTTGGGTTATGGGACTTTTTGTTACCAATTTCTAAGAATGCTTCATGGAGCGGGAAGCTCAGCCTTTTGTCACATCACAGAGGTTAATCTTAATGTATTCAAGTAATTGAACTGATAAATAATTCAGATCTAATGAGTGGTTAGTAATGATAACGAACTGGTTAAATTCGAGTCTTCTGTCCTGTGTCTATAACCTCTTTTCCACCAGCAGCCTGTATGTGACCAGTCTCTCTTGTCATGACCCCTTCTCTTGTCCCTTTATTCTCCCTCCTCCTTTCTTCATGGAGCTGAGGCCCCTGGTCCCTCTCGAGCACTCTTGCCAAGTCCTTAAGCTTCCTGGCCAGCAGGATCCGCCTCCTGGATGGCTGTGGCTATCCGCCTTCTCTCCGGCACCTACAGGCTGAGCACTGCAGGTCACTGTGGGTTGCCAGCATTCTGAAATGAGTCCTCCCTACAATGACTGCTTTAATCCTTCGCGTCTCCTCAGATCCCTGGCACTGCCCCCCATTTGCCCACACCTGCTTTTTCATCTTCTATATACAACTTGGCCCTCAGAGGAATTAGGAGCCATCAGATGGGAGCTGTGTCACCCTCCCACGCCCAAAGGTGCAAACCTGCCTCCTCCTGCGCCTTCTAGGTGGCGAAAGGGAGGCGCCACAGCTCCTCCCACCTGTTTCCTGCTGACTTCACAGAAACCTCACACTCACTAGCTCCTCCCCTCAGGTCTGCTCGCCTCCTGCCACCCTACTCTGGTCTTCCAACAAGCATTTTAAACATGCCCCACTTCTCCTATTTTCAATCTCCTCCTCTTGTCCCACATTCTGTCAGCCACCTTTCTTGGGGTGTGTGTTCTTTCTTCGTTTTCTCCCCTTTTTTAAAAAAATATGTTTTTATTGATTTTAGAGAGGAAGGGAGAGGGTGAGAAAGATAGAAACATCAATGATGAGAGGGAATCATTGATCGGCTGCCTCCTGCACGCCCCCTATGGGGGATCGAGCCCACAACCCGGGCATGTGCCCTTGGCCAGAATCGAACCCAGGACCCTTCAGTCTCAGGCCGACGCTCTATCCACTGAGCCAGACCAGCTAGGGCTCCCTTTTTACTTCTTATTTCACTCCAGGCCTGGCTCTGTCCTGTTGCTCTCTGAAAGTCCCCACGTCTCCAGGCCTGATGGATGTTTTGGTCTGTTGTGCTTGACCTCTAGAGCATCTGACTTTATTGATCCTTTTTAAAAATATATATATTTTTATTAATTTCAGAGAAGAGACGAGAGGGAGAGAGAGATAGAAACAAATATCAATTATGAGAGAATTATTGATTGGATGCCTCCTGCATGCCCCCTAATGGGGGTCGAGCATGCAACCTGGGTACATGCCCTTGACTGGAATCAAACCTGGGACCTTTCAGTTCACAGGCCAACACTCTATCCACTGAGCCAAACCATCTAGGGCTTGATCCTTTTTTTTTAAATGCTCACCAGAGGATGTGTTTAGAGAGAGAGAGAGAGAGAGAAACATTGATGTGAGAGAAAAACATTAATCGGTTGCCTCCCATATACACCTTGACTGGGATCGAACCCACAACCTAGGTATGTGCCCTGACTGGGACCTTGTTTTGGTGTGCGGGACAATGCTCCAACCAACTGAGCCACCTGGCCGGGGCTATTGATCTGAAGGGCACCCTGCCATTGGTTCCTGGGATTCCTGCACTCTCTGGCGTTCCTCCTGCCTCTCAGCTCCTTTGCAGACTCCTCCTTGTCTCTCTGGTCTTTTAAAATATGAGTCTTCAGGGCTCTGCCTTAGCCTTCCCTTTCTAGCGTCTTTCTGAAGGAACTCACACACTGTGCAGCTTGAATTGTCGTCACACACTGACTCAGAGTGTATGCCTGGGCTCCCACCCTCAGCTCGGACTCCAGGCCTGTGGGTCTGCCTCCTGCTGGACACCTGCCTGTGGACATCCAGGCCTCCTCCTGCAGCGCGTCCAGGGCTGAGGTCCCCCCTTCTCGGGCCCTCGGCAGGTGTCCATCTTGGGGAGCAGCATTGCCACCCAACTAGTTGCACAAATCAGACTCCGGGAGTCATCCTTGAGACGTCCTTCTTCTTGTCCCTCTCCCTTCAAAATCCAGTCTGTCACTCTGCCCTGATGATTGGTACCTTCTAAATCCACTACCTTCACGTGTCACAGGCTCAGCTGTTGTCAGCTGGTCTGTCACGGTGGCTTCCATGGGCTCCCTCCCTGCATGCTCACCTTCTAGCAGCCGTTGCCACTTTCACACTGGCGATGAGCTCCATGCCCTCAGCCTTGTGAAGACCTCGGCGGCTTTAGGCCCCTTATCTGTTCCTTGTCCTGACCCGCATGGTCCTGTGTGGTCTGGCCCCTGCAGAGTGCCTGTGCTTTCTCTGGGCCCACCAGGTGGCCCTTATTTATGTTGCCAAATACCTTTCTCCTGCTCTACCCCCACACTTGGAATAGAGCTTCTCCAAGTGCTGCTGCCTCCTTTTTCTGTGCCTCCAAGCCCCTCTCCCCCACCTTCATCTATTTACCTTTTACTTACCCTTCAGCTTCCAAGAGGGTGTCTATGGACTCCAAGCCAGTGTGCTGGGTTCAAATCCCTGCTCGGCCACGTAGTAGTTAGGGCAAGTTATTTAATCTCTATTTCCTTCATCTGCAAAATGGGAATAATAACAGGACTACATCAGAGGGTTGTATAAGGGTTGGTTGCGGGTATGTGTATGTGCGTCACAGAGAGTAGGACCTGGCACATAGTTAGTGCTGTAATTTTACGGCTGCTATTTTTGTTTTGTTTTTTGTTAATCCTCACTTGAGGGTATTTTTCCATTGATTTTTTGAGAGTGGAAGGGAGGAAGGATGGGGAGAGACACAGAGAGAGAAACATCAGTGTGAGAGAGACACATCGATTGGTTACCTCCCGCATGCACCCCACCCTGGGCTGGGGATCGAGCCTGCAACCGAGGTGAGTGACCTTGCCTGGAATTGAACACGGGACTCTTTAGCCCGCAGGCCAATGCTCTGTTCGCTGAGCCAAACCAGCTGCTATTATTATTGTTACTTATTCCAAGAGTAAAATGCTACGACTGATGATTTTGAAAGCTGTTAACTTACCCATTCAAAATTAAGAAATGCATTTAAGAAGTGGGTGAACAGTTAACAGCAATATTTAGACAGGGAGGTGGCTCAGGAAGCCGGTTAGCAGTGTGTGTATCGGTGGGAACGTCCAGCCCGAAGGCTGTGGAGAGCCCGAGAAATCACTTGGTCTGGCCCTGCGAAGGCGTTAGGGGTGAATAACTAAACGTTTGACCAAACACAGCGGCTAGTTTTTAAGTTGACAATTTTGTATGGCCTGAAAATCATGTTATAAATACCCAAATGGCCCCTGGCAGAAAAAAGGTTCCCCACCCCTTGTGAGAAAGTGAGTTATTTTTAGGAAAAAAATATATCCTTTTTGAGCCAATAAACCATTTCTACAAATTTAACATAAAACAGAATAATAGAAAGTAAATTATAGCACTAGTCTAATCTCTAGAATTGATTGCAGTACTCTAGCATTGGTAATATTAGACAAAATAATTCTTCCAATTAAACAGTTCCTCTGAAGGACAAAATAATGATTTGGTGGCCATCTCATTGTCTGCACTGCCCTTGCAGAGCCGGTCAGCAAATCTCCCCTCTCTTCTCTGCCAGCCAGCACATCTTCCTCTCTTTTCTGCTGACCGCAGTGGACAGTGAGCATTAGTTAGAACTGCAGGAGCTGCACGGTGGAGCTGCTGCCGGGCCCTCTAGTGGAGACTGCTGGGAAATTCTTGTTTCTGCACTGCCTTGTCAAATGTAAATGATCGCTAACATTTCTAATTGCACAGTGATAACTTCGGGAATTTCACAGTAGGCTTGTATGTAAGTGCATTAGAAGATGGTGATGCTCTCTGAGTATTAATCCAACACTCAGGCTTTTGACATTTAGCTACATGTATATCAGTGCACCTGTTGGTTTAGAACTTCTTGAAGGGTGAATTGAATGCATCGGTTTTATAATTTGGGGTGTTTGGGTGTTATACTTAGGTCTCTGATCCATTATTTTAAAAAAGTAATATGTATTTATTTGATCCCTTTTGAGTGGATTTTTGTGCACGGTTTGTGGTATGGATAGAAGCTCTTTTCTTTGCACATCCAGACATTCCAGCACACTGAGCATCATTGCTGAAAACCAGTTGCCCGTGAATGTGGGCGTATTCTGTACTCTGTTTTGTTGGTCTGTCTCTATTACAGTAATATCACACGACCTTGATTACCCTTGAGTCACTTTTAATTTGTTTTCTCTTGCAATTATTTGTTAAACAACTAGGTCATGTGTCCAAAGAGTTTTCCAGAGTCAGAATTTTACTGAAACATCCTGTGGGCAATGGTATGCTGGTGAATACTTAATGCCTGGTTCTCTGGGACAGAAAGCCCATATCTGTTGCGCTTGCTGGTTTCTGTGGTGTAAATATTCTTAAATGACTGACTTAAAACAACCAATGTGCCCTAGCTGGTTTGGCTCAGTGGATAGAGTGTCGGCCTGTGGACTGAAGGGTCCTGGGTTCGATTCCGATCAAGGGAACATGCCAGGGTTTTAGGCTCAACCCCCAGTAGGGATCGTGCAGGAGGCAGCCTATCAATGATTCTCTCGCATCATTGATATTTCTATGTCTCTCTTCCCTCTCCGAAATCAATAAAAATATATTAAAAACAAAAACCCAACCAATGTGACATCACTGAACACAGAGTTGGGGAGAGACATGCAGTCGTGCACCATCATGTAGTATTTCCACTGTGCACAGGTAGAGGTAAAATGTAGTGAAATAATTAGGGAATGTGAGTTGTGAGCATTCATTAGCTTTTTAATAATATAGTTAATTATAAGAGTATACAAGTTAGTTTGAAACAATGACTGTGTTTAACATCTGGCTCACAAAATTCCTG